AGCGTCATCGATGTTCTTGAAGACTCCTAACGCTGTTCTACTCCGCGTGGTCTTTGCTGCCCATATCGTTGTGACCTCTGGGAAAACTGTCGTGCGCCTTGCTTCAGGTGCACCTCCACGTTCCCACTGTCGCCCCAGCTGCACTCGGTTCCTTCTGGTTATCTTCTCTCCAATATTGGCTTCACAAGATCTTTTTCCAACTTTCGCAGTCACTACACTTTTCTTCCATCCTTCGCTGACATACGGTATTGGTTGAGTCAGCACTTCCTCATCTGCTAATAGCTCAGGTAGCGCCCAGGTACGGCGGCCGTAATACAGTTTCTAGTCGGCCATCCTTTTTGCTTAAATTCTTTTGCTGTTGCTCATGCGACGACAAAACCGCTTGTAAAACGTCCGCTGACGCATGCATTAGGGTTTTTGTCTCTCTACCGCACAGACCTTGAACTGGTCTGGTACCTATATTTGGTGACGGTGTATTGTGAATTTCCAACAGCATCAGCTTTGGATCCTCACGAGTTATCGTAGCCTTTGATAACAGCTTCTTGGCTTGTTTGACCACTGTCACTACTTCTCCTTTTGACTGGGTGTGATGTGGGCTGGTTTGTCGATGCGAAAATTCCCACTTTTTCACGAAGGTCTGGAACGCAGCACTTGTAAATTGCTGGCCATTGTCAGGGAGCTGTTTCTCCGGTATTCCTTGTTTGGCGAACTGACATCTACGCTTATTACTGACTACCTCCGTGGTGGTAACACTGAGTAGATCGATCTCAAAATAGTCACTGTAGTAGTCCACTGTGATTAAATACTCATTCACGTTGTCACTGAACAAGCCCAACTCTACTTTCCGCCGTGCTCGACCTGGAATCTCACGCAGCATCATTGCTTCTCTAGCTTGGTGAGTCTCGTGGGACTGGCAGGCTGAACAGCTTGACACTGGATCTCGGATTTGACTTGTCATCCCGGGCCAGAACATCAGTTTGCGTGTTCCGTCAATGCTGTAGTTAACGCCTAAATTGGATCAATGAGCGTTTTCTAGCATTTCTTTACGAAACCACGGTGGGATCAGGATACCATTTTCTTTTTTCTTCATACACTTTCGGTTCATCCCGAAAATTGAAGCGTAGCGTTATTCCTTCGGAAGTTTGTTCTTTGCATCTGGCCATCCATTCAAAATCAAGTCTCGCAACGCCACGCAACTGGCGTCTGCCTCCGTTTAACACCTTATTTCTTTCAGGCGATCTGCCGTTACCGCCAGTTGTTGTACCAGCTTTACTGCCTCGATTTCTTCTTGTTGCTATTCGCCTACCGGAGGATAAATTTTCGACAGAGCGTCCGAGGTGAAGATTTGCCCTCCCGGAGTGTACACATGACCCATATCGTATTTTAGGAGCCTGATAAGCATTATTTGAAGATCTCAAGGATCACTATTTAATGGTTTGTTGGCTATAGATACGAGCGGTTTATGGTCAGTATAGGCGGTAGTCATCCTCCCAAAGCTGTAATAGTTGAATCACTCTGTCGCTTGTACAACAGCAGGCATTTTTTCGATCTGCGCATAGCGCTGTTCCGCCACTGTCAGCGTCCTACTGCGGAAATCCATGGGCTTACCATTCTGCATGAGAACGGCGCCTATTCCGCTCTGACTGCTGTCGCATTGCGCCTCCAAAGGCAGAGCTGGATTTAGGAGCCAAGTATTTGTACACCGCTAATAAGAAACTTGGTCGTAAAAAGGACCTGCTGCTCTTCTCCGCAACTCCACTCTGCACCCCTGTATGTCAGCCTCTGGATGGACACCATGATTTCAACTAGCCTTAGTAACAAATGGTTTAAGTAATTCACCACGCCATTCAAACGGTTTAACTACCTTGATGTCTTTAGGTTGTGACATCTCCTGCACTGTCTTGCTTTTTTCTGGATCGATCTTTATTCCCTAGGATGTCAGAACGTGCCCATGAAAAATCAATTCCGATTTCTGGAGTTCAATTTCCTTGCGTTTGAGCACGCATTGATGCGAAAAGTGGTGCAGATTGGCGTCATGTTCCTGTTCATTTGAGCCGTAAATCAGTACATCGTCGGCTACACATGTCATACAGCCTAGATAATCAACAGCTTGCAATAACCGCTTCTCAAAAATTTCGCTCGTGACCTTCAACCCAAACGGTAAACGCAGCCAGTGCAAATGCCCGAATTGTGTGGCAAACATCATCAGGAAACGGGCTTCCTCATCTAGGACCACCTGCCAGGACGCTGATGTTAGCTCAACCTTGGTGAAGTCCTTTGCCTTAGCCAAACGCGGCAGGACATCCTTTAACGTTGGCAGCGCGTAATGTTCTCTGCGTAAAACTTCATTCAACCACTTAGGATCTGCACAAACGGAAATCACCGTTCTTTTTCATAACTATCGCGATTTGACTAACCCAATCTGTTGACTTGTCCACCTTAACAAGTACGCCCAATTGCGTCAATGTACTTAATTCGGTGGCTTAGTTATGACAAAGCATACGGAACCCTTCTAGCTAGCAGCGCAGCCAGTCGTATTGACCGATCTAGTGACAATTGATCGCAACGTACAAACCTGTCCTAACTTAAGCTAAACACAAACGAATTATGCTCACTAACATGTCTCCACTCGACACGTATGCACAAAACTATCATGGTTAAAATGAACAAAGTCAAGACACTGGATGGAATCCACGCTGAGAATCGGTGTGGGATCTTCCTCCACAACCTCGAAATCCAACTGATATGAGGATCCGTCCTTGGGATTGCTCACTTTGATTGTGGCCAAACTATTCGGCTGGAGCTTTGAACCATTCCACATGCGCAGGGATCCTTGATCAGGTCTCACATGCATTTCTGAGCACCGCTTCGTAGGTATTATGTTGATGGTAGCACCCATGTCTAACTGGATGCACACCATCCAGCGACCAACCAATAAACTTGCGTGGACGCACTTCTTTGGTCCCATCTGCGACACGTTACTGATTGGATGTTCAGAGCCGGAGGGAGTCTTGTCACCTTCGAAGACTGACAACACCGAGCGAAATGAATATCTCTGGCGCAAATTCGGCCCTACGCCAAACATTGACCGCGCTCCTTCCAGTGTTTCACGGCGCACTATTTGTACGTTTCCTGTGCCTTGATACCAGGCTTCACAATTTTGTCAGGTAAACTAAACACGTCAGAGAGCTCTGCATCGGTCAGCAACCTCATTTGCTGGATGTGGTGTGCAATTGCCGATTCATGGTGCCATATGTCAATGCAATGTCTGAGCGACAAATGTCATTGCCGCAACAGCTGCTTGGTGATGTTTTCATCATTGGTCATTAGAACGATTCTACGACGGATGCAATTGTCAGCCATACGGTTGTAAAAATTACAGGAATCGGCCAGAATGTTCAGCCCTGTAACATGGTTCTCGGTAGATTCGTACGGATGCCTGTTTTGAGTAAAAAGAGATACCGCTGTTACGTCCCGTTAGTCTAGCCCTCGCAGAAATCGCCCACTTTTCGAATGACTGTTTCCAGATCAGCTAAATCTTCGTCCTTTTCGTACTCCATCGTTTACAGAATACGGCGTGCTTCATCTCCGATCGCAAATCGAAATATGGTCAGGCGATACGCCATAGGTTGTTCATGCAGAAGCACCAGTACGCAGAAATCGATCTACTTGCTTTTCCAGATCCTCCAGTAATGGCCAGGTTGTGTTCTCTCAGGTTCAACGGGTCAAGTGTTTGCACGGCTGGCTGCTTTGCAATCAGCAATTGAACACTGTCCGGCGAACTTGCCTTGCTTCTATCTGATACCATGTCGCAAAGCTCGGTCCTTCAGGTACAAACGGTTTATTCGACAAAGCAAGCTCAGCGAAAACTATTGCATGATCAGCTTACTGAAGCCTCGATGTCAGTAACTAGGTCACTTCCATAACTTAGGTCGTTTCTGCATTCATGAGATTCTTCTTTTTTAACCAGTCAAACATGCTCACTCCAGCGCTGCCAAATATGAACCAATCAGCGTATAGACGAAGATATGTAGGCCTCCAATCATCTGCTTTGTTCGCTTGCTTCGTCATATAAATCTGCCTCATACCTATGATTGCATACTCCCGTCACACTCATCTTGGTTGAACTATGGAGGTGTAGTTCCCGAAGTATAGCGACGTGTTTTTCGGGAAATCCATTCTCTAGTAGCTATCGCCATAAAGCAGGTTTGTCTACTGAGTCGGATGCGGCCGGAATATCCATGAAGGAGTCTTCGGTTGAGCGTTCGAAAGGCCTAGTCTACTGAGTGGCAGCTCGAACGTATAATAAGATGACAAGGAATCTGCGAATCGGAGGTGCGCGGCCGCTAGAAGCATCTGCTTCTTTTGTCTGATTAGTTTTCATGCTTGTTCGCTCGGAAGATCTGAAACGATTGTAACTTAACAGAAACTGCTGTTTATGAACTATTCATCATGTGTGATTGCAGCGCCATGTAAGCAGTATGGAAGCACGAAGCCAATAATTTGCAACGAATTCTTCGACATCCTCTACGTTGAATCAACCATTTACTGAGCGTGTGAACCCACTGTGTTCTTTATCGCTCATATCGCTTGTTGTATTCGATTAACAAACATTGCAACAAACCCCTGGAGACGTGGATAAAGGCTGCGGAGGATGTTGCCTCACCTCCGTCCATATTCCGTGCTGGTAATCACATGACGCAAACTCGCAGTAGCTGGTTTCGAACCTTATGGTTCACAACGTAAATCATTCACACAGGCGTTTTGCATCGGTTTTATCATTTGTTGAATTTTTAACAAAAAGTATCCAAATCACCGCGGTACGAAGCATCGAAAAGAAACGCTACTTTTTATATTATTCTTAAGCTCTTTGTCGAACAAGACTCCTTTCATTTTCATCTTGGCTCTGACGACTCATCTGTTTGCATTCCGGACGGGGAATGGGTATATGATATATCAGCTATTGTTGCTACCAATTGTTTGCCCTCTCTTTTAACCAGATCCGCTCTCTAGCCAATTACTGCCTTGATCTGCGGTTTCATCGCCCACGAGTAGAGCAAATCAAAGCTGCCATCATGTCTATTTTGTGCAAAGAGAATGTTTCCATTCCTCCGACTGTGCTGAACGATATCATACTCGCAAGCAACCACGATATTCGCCAAGTGAGTTGTGTTTGTTTGACTTCATTAGTGTCCCTGCAATTTCTGTGACCCAACCAACCTGCGGTATAAACACATACGAAAACCCTTGTCTCCGCAACTGGGTTGATCTTTTCACTTATCGTTGCCAGTCTTGCTTCGCGCAGTTCTATTTCCTACTGGCGTGGGTACGTTGTGCCGGCGTACTTGCTTGTTGTTACTTGTGCCTGATACTGATTTAACTATGGTGTGGGTTGGAACTATGGTGTGGTTTAGTGAAAGCCGCACGGATACTTTCTCGCTGATGCCGACTTATTTTACCCCGAAAACCAACAGCTTGCAATTGTAATTTAAGCAACGTGTAACTATCTTGATTCTAAATGTTTCTTTATGCTATGTAAGTTCTCTATTAAGTCCTCTTTTCCACTTCTTATTCAGTCTAATGAATCAAATCGTCAACGAGTTTGTGCTTTCCGCGGTTCTATACCCATTACTGACTACTTCTATCGATGACGACAACCGTGATCATGAATACTGACTTTGAATGATAAGGAGCTTGAGGACAAACATCTGTTGTTGTTACAATCTCGGGTACGCACGCCGAATGCTATTTTTTATTGCCTCTTTCCATCCTCGCATTTCGACTGCGCGACGTCTTCTTGAAGTGCGATGCACTCCCGAACTGCACTACGGAAAGTTGGCGTCTAGAAATTTCATTGACGCCGACAATGATTTCACCTTGACTATTGTCTCACCGAAACTTCCGTACAATGATAAGTCGGCATCAGCAAGACAGCTTCTTCGCGGCTTTCACTGCCTCGTGTCTTAATCAGCCGTTACCCCGCAGATAACTCAGCACCAGAATCACTTCACATAAGCAGACCCGACTGCGAGGCGACAGCAATCGCACCACTGGTGCCGACTGCGAGCCATGTCCTATAACGTCTCAAGCAAAGCACAAGGTGGGTCTCGTGGATTCCAGTCTAATAGGCGAGCCGAACCAACAGCACCGTATTTAGTCGTCAGCGACTTCTTTTCTCTCTACCAACTTAACTTTCGCCCACCTCGGACATTGCGCCACCCCATATCTGAAAAACAAAACAAAGTTCTCTTCGGCAAACGTTGATCAGAATAAGTAGTACGTGCTCCAACCAACGCAACTTATTTATTGCTATATGTTGTTATCAGCAATTATCATAATCATCACTGTCTAACCACATCGCTGCGGACCCGATGGTGCCCTTCGACACCAGCAATGCTTCACAGCCAACGATGATCAAAGACTTCAAGACGCCGAAAGTTCTCAGATTGAAGTTCTTAAGTCTCACTCCCATACAGTAGAACGGCCCTCACTGTGGCCTAGTAAACACAGTCATTCAGACCGAGGAAATCCCGTTTCTCACGCCATAGATGTCACAGGTTCAACGCGACAGTTCTAGCTCTCATAATACCTGAACAAACTCAAGTGCTTATGCGGCCATTGTTGCTAGTGCAGCTGCCAGGAGAGGTGAATTGTGTTCCTTGCTATCATTTGTCAAGACTTCCTTAATTGTGTGACGGTTCTACACACTTTGAAGGTGCGAAGCGCATGCCAACTAATCGGAACACTCTGGAGAGGTTATTCAGCTTTGACTAGGCCGCTCCAACATAGTTAATCAGCAGGACATTACCGTAAGCATAATCAATCTCAACTAGCTTCTAACCAGACAGCACCTCAACGCCTACCTCTGGAGATTCTGCATGCGAACACTTCAGGAAGAAGTCTACGATGACGTTAATCAAAATGGGAAAATGAACAACCCTGACGAACGCTACTTTTTATCCGGAAAATATCTGATATTTTACCATAGGCGCTGACGTGGACTGTGGTGTTCGAGTACAGGGCACGTATATTTTACGCCAGTTTCATGGGAACGTCTTTCTGCACATGTGTTTCCAAAATAGTGGGTTGAACGACTAAGCCGAACGCCATTTTGAAGTTGAGGAACACACCTATTGTCGGTCTGCAGTACGTGAGGCGATGCTCTTGCATCTGCCTTAGGCTAGATATGTGGTCTTTATGACTCCATCGTGGGCGGAAGGCTAACCCAGGATTCCCATTCCGCAGTGGGGTGACAAACGAGATTTGAGGCTAGTGTTTTGGCACTATCGTCGTTCAGCTATTAACCCTGCAGTTAGCACAGACGGTTCGGCTGCCTTTCCCGTACAACAACACTGTAATCGATTCACTCCAGTTAGCTGCGATGGCCTCTTGTTTCCAGACTGTTCGAACAGTGCATTGCAGATAACCTCACCACCATCCTTAAATAGTGCTGGTACGAGGAAATCCTGGCCAGAAGCTCGAAAAGGATTATGAGCTGTGATCGAAAGTGGTCCGCCCAACCAGGCTACGGCGCTCCTTATTGTGAATATTGCCATCCGCACTGTCTCTGTTTGTCTCACTGACATCTGGTTTTCTTGGACCAGTAGTGCGGTTCACTTGGAAGGGATTCCAATGATTGCTTACTGCTCCGGCCTCTCTCATTACTTGGACCCCCTGGTCCACCAGGTTCGGCTTTATTTCACATCCGATAGTCCGTCTGGTCACACTGAGCTCAGAGCCAGTATAAAGTTTTCTTCTGTGATCAAACAGATTCACCGCACGCTCGGATATCCGGTGACTGTTGCGGTGACGATTGATTTTTCCGCAAGCAGCGGCTATTGCATCTTGCATGGCGGCTGAGATCCTATTCCACCGAAGCCCCATGTCGTTAGGAGGACAGAGGAAGGTTCAGTACGCAGAGCATCTGGTACTCTTGCGTGACAGCAGACTGAGAGAACTTCTCATTTGCCAATCGTGTAATGCCCTTGGTGTGCCCCCCCGGTAAAGTTTATGGTCAAACAACGTCGTACGATAGCATGATCAGTCGACGCATATACTCCAGAAAGGGCGACAATGCAGTATAGAACCACGCCACTAACTTATGGAAAAGTGATCTATTTGGGTCCACCGCTGGCCAGCTATAGGGGGACACCAAGTGACACTGCGCGCCCACTGTTTCTAAATGCGGGGATACTAAGAAACAACTGCTGCTTCACGCACAATTGCACCAGACGCTCGCCGTTATCCGCCGGGTCGGAGTTAAGGAGTAGCATACTTTGCTAATCTCCCCCCCGTTTTATGTGGCAAATAAGGCGCGTCTGCCCATGCAAGATTTGGTTAAAGTTTAAAGAAATAGTCATGATTTTCGTGGGATGAGATGCTGTCATGGAGCCTTTGACTCAAAAACCTATCCGCTAAGCAACCGCATGGCATTGGTTTGGTTTTACAGAATAGAAAGGCATCCCATTTTAAACTTTCAGTCAGATGAACCTGGAGGCTATATTTGTGGAACCACTAACCAACCTGTTGTGAGTAGCTCTCACTGGGCCCGGAAGCGCCACCCAGTTAGCTCTGTAGGTCGGACGAGTACGCAAACGATCGCACCACGTTAAGGTCCAGTCTCGTTGTTACTGTGTGTCATAATGATGTCAGTTCGAGACGTGCGACACGATGATAAGTACAGTCCCTTTCTGCTCCATCGGCCTGCCTACGGTATTACTCGTCCCCGGAGATGAACCTGGTTGCGACATATTGACACCGTTTAAGTTTTGCACCACCCAGTGGGTGATTAGACACTAGGCGGATGGGCCGTAGTCGAGAAGCAGTTTTATTATGGAAAAAAGAAGCAAGTGACAGCTTTTTCAGACTAAATACAAAAACTACGTTTGAGCGCCAAAAGCATGCGTAGTCCGTTTCGACATAGCTTGTTCGCTTCTTACACGGAGTTCAAATCTCAGCGTTAGAGTACGCCTGGATCCTTCAAGGAAAGTGTGGGATGCAGCAATCGACCGGCTAGATTGTGCATATCTCCAGCACCACTTTTCTCCAGGCTCATGAATAACAACTTGACTTCGTTGACTAGCATACCGTAGTTTGCAGACCAACTGGACGGGTAGTCGAGGTCATGCAGATGTGCGTCGCAGTCACTGAGAGCTTCGATTGCTCTCTTAATCTTCAGATCGTCTGCAAACAAGGCACACGGTAACCAAGAAGCTGAAGTGCTTTGTTGATGAGCATCAGGAACAGAATGGGCCCCAGTCTTGTATCTTGGGATACCCAACTAATGAAAGGATACCACTCGGTTAGATAATCACCCATCTGCATCTTCCATTTGCGCCCCGTATGGGAGTCACTGATCCACTGTTCCATTGAGGCCTCAACACCGCACATCCTCAGCTTGTGTAGGAATACCTCATGGTTCACCTTATCGAGCACTTTCCTGATATCTGTGCAGATCACGTCGCGGATTCCCCCCGGTTTGGCACTTACTTGTTGCGTCACCAGCAAGTTGGTGATGCATGAGCGGTCTTTAATGAAACCGTGTTGTGCCGGCGTCAGGTCTTTCGATTCTAGCAGATGCAACAGTACCTTCTCCACGATCTTTTCCGGCACCCTGACCAAACACATTAGTCGTTGTCCACCTTGCTTTTTGCGCAGGAGGGAGGGCGACATTTCAACCAGATCAGTCACGGAAGGTGAAATGATGTCTGGTGAATCGCGGTTGAGGCGGTTCAGGAACGGTAAACATTGTGCCATCAAGACTAGCCAATGGATTGGGTACATCGTCCACCTTTAAATCCAAACTGTCTTGTTTGGTCGGTGCTGCACTTCTCTGTACTTACGGCAATTTGCAGAAACGGACTCGAACTGCGCCATCATTGCGGACGCACGCTTTGTGCCGTAGGTTTGGGACTGTCTGTCCGGGACCTCTGTGACTGATAGATTACCTGCTGGCTTCAGGCCCGCTTCATTTAAGTATATGTTCTGTACAATGTTTACATCAGTTTCGAGCTACTCTTTGAAATGCCTTGCTCGTTGCTTGCTGGTTTCCGCCTGGTTCCACACATTCCACCGTCTCTTATGTGCTTTGTAATCGTTGGAAGATCGAAGGAGGAGGAATTTGTCCCACTCTCTATTCCATTGCCGAGCCAACCCACCATGCTCGTTATCGAACCAATCTGGGTTGTTTGATCTATCTTCCCGATACTAGAATGTTGCACACCGAGAATACAGCAAAATTACTTCCCCATTTACCACTGTTCAACCGTATTCAACTGGTGCGGCTTGTCGCTGAAGCCAATCCACCTAGCTCGTGCATCCAGTGAGACCATCGAACTCCGTTTTCCAGTAGTTGTGATGTGTTGCTAGCGAACGGAAATGCAGCAAAGGCAACACCATGCTGGCTATGAGGACTGAGTGGTTGGTTGTTGCTAGAATATCCGGAATCCGAATGTCATACACTTGGTATTCATAGCTTTTTTACATGAAGTCCAGGCACGACGGAATTGAGCGTGATGTTATGCTTGTTGGCTAGCATGCGTGTTGCACCGCTCCAATTTCAAGTACCGAATTCACGAGCTTTGTTTCGACCTTAAATTGCCCGTGTATGAGTTGGACTTCAGCCTAGCCTACTCGAGGACTATTGAAAACATACGTGAGTAAAGTGCAGCTACGATTCATGTGGCTTATAAAATGCGGCAGCTGATCCAAACAACGGCTCAGAGACTGCGATTAACTGCACTGAAATTAGTTGGAATGCCAGTAGCTCAAGAGACTTGTTTGGTTGTTGTTTATTGCAGACGTTTCGTCACCATTCGAGGTGAAATCATTAGTACAAGAATGATGGCAGTTAGATAGCAGGAGTTGATGAAAAGCCAACTCTTCTTTACCTTCCACAAGAACTAGATAAATTGCACCCACCAATAGCTCTCGTTGTCTGAGGTTGACCGAGAACCACAGATGCTCACACAACCCATCGTCCCTTCTGTCAGCCCTCAATAGTCTCACAGAGACGACCGGAGTAGAGCAAGACGTCATTGCAGGCAGTCAAGAGTCGATCGCATCGGAAGTACGAGTGACCATAGAGCTCTATTTCTTTCGCGATCACCTCAGAATTCAGCCACGTCCCCGCGAGTCCAACTACCTTTGGCTATTCAAATGCAACAAACAACAGTGTTCATCGCGCCAATGTTGCGAAACCAACACAGGCCACAACAGGAATCACAAGGGGTGTTCTAGATGTGATCAACTTGTTTCTTCTGCTTCGTGGAACGTTGGGAACCACTCGAGAATGTACGATACGTCGACTTGTACCCCATCAACGTCACATCTTTTCAACATAGTTCTGGCAGAACTGAACCATTGCCTATCTACCGGTTCTGGGCGAAAATGGTTCTCCAAATCATTCTGCCTGTTTAGGTGGGACAAAATCAGCTTCGGACTGGCTTCGCCTACCAAGGTGATTCTCCTTGGCCGACTTTGTTGATCACCTCCTTTTAAAAACGATTAATTTGCTTCACTTTATATCCGTCTTCACTCACTGCTAATAGTCTATCAATTAGACTCGGTAAAACTCGACGTCCTGAGCGTAAAGCATCTGGGGAGTTAAACCACTGGACAAGGAGGTCGGCCACGGTGGGCCTTGCAAGGCGACGGATTTCCTGAAAATCACGTGATCTGGCCTGCCATGGGTTTGCAGTAGCTAAACTTTACCCTTCTTTCTTGTACTTTCTACGTGTCTTCAGTACACAGTTCTTCACAAACCGAGGCATCTGTTCCGGTAGGATACAACACAGGTAAATGATTCGTGTCAGATGACACTGAGCTGCTCTCAACGGCGAGACCTCGTGCCGATGAGTTGACATGGTATGAGTAAGAAGGCTGCTTTGAAATCTGCAGGCGCAACGGGCCAAGCCCACAGAGCTGTTCGCAACGAAATGATCCAGTCTACGTTGGGGCTTGCAACTGCGCTACTTTATCCAGCTGCATCTTGTTTGGTCAGTTCCTACACAAAATTTAAACGAACTAATGTTTGATTTCATGAAGTCGTCGAAAATACTTGGTCGACAATCCGGTGTATGAAATGTGGCATTTAAACTATCTGTTCTCCGACAATTTTAGATCAGGCACCGCAATGTGATTGTTTCAGGATTCTGAATAATCTGAGACCAAGATGACGACCAACCGTGAAGCACAAAAGCATCTAATATTAAACGGAGATAACGCGAGTATTTATAGTAGAACAATTCGATATCAGTAACGAGGCTGAATGATAGATAATTTCCACGAAATAATTCAAACACAAGCCGCCACCCATACAGAAAAAATCAGGAAAAAAAACCAGCCGTTGCCGGCTAACCGCAGTCATGCACGTGAAGCACGCTTCACATCCTCTATTGAGAGTGTGTAGTATCAGACACTAGTGCGGTGTCACCGGCGAAAGTTGTTATTTATTGTGATTCACTCCTAGTCTTTTTGTATTCTATTCTGATTATGTATGTACTATTGTAACCTTCGCTGATTTATCTTGTGTGTATAGCCCATCCGCAGGAGCATTTTTCCAAGAAAGTCCAATTGCTTTCTATTCGTATCCTTAACTGTACTGATCAACATCCCGCTCTCATTTTGTTATTTCACATTTAGATCATTAACAACACACAGATGTGGTGCAGTTCAAACCTTGTGGATCAGACTCAGCTGAGCTCAGATGCTGCCGGTGCACAGAAGGATCTTCATCTAGGTGCCTTCGATGTTATACGGAAGGTTTTCACCCTTGAGTTTTCCGGACCGAACGGAGGTCCTGCCAGCATCAACGATAGTCTGGGGCTGTTCTTTCAAGACTATAGCTTGATTCCACTCTTCGTCCAAGAAAACTATCTAAATGTTAAGCCTCGAGCGGCTCAGTGAGTTTACCTAAATCCATTTGCCGCATGGATGACCTTCTTTGCCAATGCTTGTGTCTTTGCAGCGATCTTATTACTTTTTTCACCCATAGCAATGACATCTCGGTGTCATTTCATTACGAGAAGACCGCGTGCTTTTAAACTTAGGGAAGGCGCTCCACCTTTATGTTGCCTTTTTTCGGTAGTAGGTGACTGCAAAGTATTGTAAGCGTAATCTCCGCTGATTACTCTGCCCTATGGATTTCTCCGAGACCCCGTTCGAGAACCCTACTGCTCCATAACCTTTCAACATGGAAAGTTTGAACTGATCCACACATCACGAGCAGCAGTTATGTTGTCTATACTCGCTTACTTTCGGCAGCCGAACCACCCTGAAGCGGGACACATCAGTAACGCCGTTCCCGTTAGTCACCAACACCAAGTCACCAACAATCCAAGTTCCTCTTTCTGACTAGGGAAACAAGCTGACGTAGGCAGCTCATAGCCGTTCGATGCAAGTTACAATAAGCCTATCGGGAGGGTGTCCCTACGATTTCTGCGAATCCATCTACCGGTTTTTTACCTTGCCGAATTCGTCTTACATTCTACTTGATTAGGACTAGTGTACATTTCAAAAACCAGCATGATTCTTACCATCTAGAGGATAGTCCATGGCGAAATGATTTGCAACTCTGATAACCCGGATGGGTTGTTCATCTGTTGTTTGGTTCGGCGGGCTTGATTAAGTGATTGCATACCTTTCGCCACCACCCGGGGTGGCATCGTCAATGCGGTTATTTGCATTGGGCAATCTTGTTTCTTGAATCGTCCTTCCGTGATCGACAGGCAGGTGACTTTTAGAAGTGACACCTTTGACTTACATCCCGTGCTCTTTGCCCATTTTCCCCGGTTGCTGAAGCGGTCTCGCGACTTGTCAGTCGCAGGTCTCCTTTCGAACTTTGCCTTTCTATTCGCAGGCGATCTTTTCCACTTGTTTCAGGGGGTGTATATCAATGCGTGGATAGAACTATTGGAGGCGAACCATCGTCCTAGCATTTCCCTCCCTTTTTGTCTCTTTTTTATCAAGAAGCTTGTTTTATTCCAATCGAAGCTATGTCGCTCCTCATCAATATGCGCTGAGATCATTGAAGATGGATAATGTCTTTTGCAGACCCCTTGATGTTCTTTTATTCTAGTCAATAATTTTCCTGTCTGCCCCACATAGTTCTTTTCACAATTACTGCGATTCACTCTGTACACAAGGTTTGTTCATTTTTGTGCTTCCCGGTTGTCCTTTGGATTCGACAATGTTCTTCTCAAGGTAGCAGTTGGCTTGTGGGCAACCATGATGTGATGTTGTTAGAACAACCTACCCGTCATACTTGTTTAAAATAACTTGATGTACTGGTAGCCCGGGTTGATCTTTCCTGGGTTCAACTGTTCACCGAGCTTCGCAATTGGTATGCACACATTTCATCACCACGCGAGGTGGCTTCCTCACTGCGCTGCAGAGTCAAACGTAATCCGTTGACGACGACGACCAAGTCAACGGATTACGTTTGACTCTGCAGCGCACTAAGTAAGTCACCTGGCGTGGTGATGAAACGTCTGCATACCAATTGCGAAGATCGGCGAACAGTTGAACCCAGGAACCTACCCGTCACCTCAGTTATGTTTTTCATATACGGCAAAACAATCCGCTTGCTTGCTTTTGACATTGGCTCGGTGTTCAGCGGCTGGTGATTTTCACATCACGGATGAACCTGCGTGGATACTCATTACGTTTAAACGAATTAAAAAGCTGTTTCTCTTCTTCCTGCTTTACCTTTGCAGTACTGAAATGTCTCAATTCTGCGAAACAGCGTCCCTACGCAGCTTATCTTATGCCACTTAGGGTGGTTGCTGTTGAAGTTCAAAATTTGGTCCATATGTGTGCCCTCCGGGAAAGTGATGTCTGCAATTCACCGTCCTTTGTTTTGGTCACCATTGCACCCAAGAATGGGAGCTAGTATTCTGTCCATAATTTCACTGTAAACTGAAACCCATCCATTACGTTTTTCAGTAGTTGGTATGCAACTGCACTGCACTGTATCACATATGTATGGACGACGTAGCGACCCCACAATCTAGGTTTAGCCGTTGGCAGTAGGTCTTGCTCTAACTTATGCTTAACAATCTCAGCTATCAAGCCATATGCTGGAGACCCCATCGGTGCTCCCTCCACTTGCACCTAGATCTTTCCGTTGAAAAGGAAGTAACTCGTGTGGCATAGTTGATGAAGCTTGCAAATACTCGCAGTCGTTATAATCTCATTATTCTCCGCTCTGTGATTCAAGCGTCCTATGATGTCTTCTTTCACCACCTGCAAGTAGACAGATGTGAATCAAACGGTGACATCGAAGGAAACTCGTTTCGTCATGAAATACTTGTAAGTTTTTTTGTGTTTCCCCAAGAATTGCTGGACATTGTTTACAGAGTGATGCGATTGATTGGTTTGATGTTGAGATGCCTCCACAAATCCCCTGCCAGGTTGTGGTTGGGTGCCGGAAAGGGAGACGATCGGTCGTAACGAGGCACCCTCTTTGTGCATTTTTGGAAGTCCTGTTATAATTGAGGGAACGCCGCCTCTTGATATGGTTGCGTAATTGCCTGATAAGTGTCGCTGGCACGGTTGGAGCACGCCTACGATGACGGCTTGTTACGCTGGCCACTCGAACGGAGTTGCGCTGTCCTGATGACGCTAGCTTAGTCGGTGAGGCGGATAATTGAGCGAGCTTGTGAACAATCCTAGCCGCACGTGTTCGGATAGACGCTGAGCCCTCGGAACGGACGCACACGAGAGGTGGGTTTACGATAGACGAGCGCTAATGACTTAGACGCGAAGGCTGGCCAGCTAACGATGCAGTGTCGGCGACAAAAGTCTTCGAGGATAGAAGAGGTAAACTGGGTACCATTGTCGGACACCAAAACCTCAGGAAGGCCATGTTGACTGAAGATTCGTTGGAGACAAGCCAGAGTGGCGGATGCGGTTGATGGGTTAACGGCGAGCACTTCCGGCCATTTGGAATAGTCGTCGACCACGACCAGATAAGAAATGCCATCGATGGGACCAGCGTAATCGATGTGCACTCGCGACCACGGTTTTGCTGGCGGATGCCAAGGAACTGATGATTGGTGTGGTGGCGTGTTTGAGGCTTGTTGACAATCCTGAAACACGGGGGCGGATTGACTGCCTTTGTCGTCGGTTCGATCGTTTGGTACTGCCGGAGAATGTACCACCTTGCAGATGGCCCGAAGAGGAAGCTCGGCTAAGCCAAGGGTTTCGAGCCAGTCGAGACCAAGGATGTTCAGCGTCGCCTTTGTGATGTAGCAGATCGCGTTGAACGTGCCGCCCCGGAAGGAGACGGAGCAATGCAGCTGCGCAGTTGGCTGCACGCGACCACCACAGGCGCTGGGGGCAGATTAGAAGGTTGGTTCAAAAGGTGGTTTGCCAAGGGATCGCCAGAGATCCTCGGAGATGATCGTGATGTCCGACGCAGTGTCCAACTGCAATCGGACCGATTGACCATTGACCATGACGTCGACGAGCTTTCTCCGATCCACAGCGTTGATTTGGAACGTGGCCAGCAGGCTCAGGGAGCTGCCAACCGGACCAGGTTTGGGTGTTCGTCTGAGTCGGGACCTCTTCTTTGGATCGCGGTGGGGGCCAGCCCAGTTTTGGCCCCCTTGGGAGATGGAGGATGGCAGTAACCATCCCGGTGCCCCACCCTGCCACAACATTGACAACGATGCTGGCGGAAATTGCAGTCACGGTGGAAATGCCATGCACCGCAGAATCGGCACGCGTAGGGTGGGGACTTCGCTCGATCGGATTGGGTGGGGCGCGCGGACGATTGCGCCCTCGGTGCTGTGACTGCCTGGACCAAACCAGGTGCGGCGGCGTTCTGGATCATTGCAGAATCGTGCTTCAGGTTGAGCAGCGTTTGACACTCCTCGGCCAGGTTCTGGAGTGTGACTGATCCATCCTGTTGTGGCTTGGACAGGAGGCGCGTCCGAATATCGGCATCGTGTGGAGACTGGAGGCCAGAGACCAAAATCAGGCATTTGAATTGGTCCTCGGTGAGCTAGCCAAGTTGAAAACGTTGGCATTCCCGGTTGACCATGCCCGCGTACGTAATGAAGTCGTCGGCATCACGTTTGGCCAGCTGCAGACACTGATAACGAGCATTGAACAGAGAGGACTGCTCGCCCAAAGTCTGTGACAACGTTCGGACCGTCTCGTCAAAGGTAACGTCGCGTGGGTTCCTCGGTAAGATGAAGTTGGTGTAGCGCTGTTGTTCGAGCGTACCAAGTTTGCGAAGGAGCAGCCGGACCTTCTACGCGTCGTCCTGGCAATCCAAGTCAACGGTGAATAGGTCCTCGTACCAGTTGTACCAAGATTCGAACGTTACCCCGGCCTTGGCGTCGTACAGGAATTCGCTGATGCCGCTAACCACATGGTCCATTGACTGAGAATTGGAGCTTGGACCTGCATGAAGGGAAGAATTGGAGAGCTTTTCGGTTAGCACGGACATCAATTTAAGCTGTTGCTGCAGCATCAATTTTAAATCGGCATATTCGTCAGTCATGGTCGTCAACTCTGTCGTCACTGTTGTACTTGAGGGAACGCCGCCTCTTGATATGATTGCGTAATTGCTTGATAAGAGTGTCGCTGGCACGGTTGGAGCACGCCTACGATGACAGCTTGTTACGCTGGCCACTCGAACGGAGTTGCGCTGTCCTGATGACGCTAGCTTAGTCGGTGAGGCGGATAATTGAGCGAGTTTGTGAACAATCCTAGCCGCACGTGTTCGGATAGACGCTGAGCTCTCGGAACGGACGCACACGAGAGGTGGGTTTACGATAGACGAGCGCTAATGACTTAGACGCGAAGGCTGGCCAGCTGACGACTCACACGCAATCACGTGACCCGACCGACTCCCAACTGAGGCGAAGCGAAAGGAAAGGCAAGTGGTCCTCTGTAGGCTCTTTTACGACCGACAGAGGGCGATCACAGCCAATGCTATGGGTTATTAAGTTAGGGAAAACAGTCACCACGAAGAGGTGGTGGTTTGCAAATGACCATTGTCAAAAGGTGCGCAGTTCGGCCGCGTCTCTGAGTGGCTGATCACTGCTACATTGTGGGGAGGAATTGGATCCCGCTTCCCACAGCCATTCTGCCGGGGTTTTTTTCGCGTTTTTGCTGGGATTTTTGACGGGCCCGCAACGAGTCCGTAGAATTGTGCGATGTTGGATAACAATCCTGACTTTGTGTGATTTCGCTGAATGGATTGCTGTTGTTGAGACGATTGCCGGCATCTGGTTTCGGATTTGCGTGTCACTGTGGCCAGCCACAGGACGCCTGCGCCTACACCGGGACCATGTATGGCTTACGCTGCACCACCCACAGCCCCAACCATTCACCTCATATCCAATGTAAACCCGAAGAATTAAGACCGGGAGGCATGTGGATGAGAGCCGCGTTTCATCAACGGAGCAAACACAAGCACAGTATATTTGGGAATCAAGCGCACACAAGTCGGTGGCTGGACCATAGTCCGCTCCATGCTGAGTGCATGGAACCACTCTTCGAGCCTAGCACGGCCACTAGGACCGTGCACTCGGTGCCCTCCAGCAACGACCAACTGTCTCCTATAGCCAGTATGGACAAGGTAGTGGGTAGTAGACAGGTAGGCCACTTGTCAACATGCACACCAAGTGCAGCCATACCGGGAATGTGAAACAACAGCCTTCACTTGGAATGACATTAACAAATAAATATATCTGTTAAAGAATAAGGCTATGCAGACATAACTCTTCCGTAAATTAGCGTATGAAGTAAATTGGTTAGCAACGAATCCGCAATAAGTGCCAAAAATCCACAACTTATGCAAAACATACTACAAGCGCAATAAAGTTAACGAAGCTAACCACAATTATCGTAAGCAAGGTGGCTAGTTGGTAGAAGGTTGTATAGGTCGGCAGGCGGGAGAGCCTATGGTTCGCTGAGACTGGTGGTGGCTAGATCCTGACAGATTGTCTGCCCATTGCTGCTACTGTTGTGCCATCGGCTCTTGCCCTGGGCGCCTTCTCGTGGCGACCGCTGGGTGGTAGCTGGGTTACCCCTTTCTTCCTGCTAAGCTCCAAGACGCCAATCCGCATGAGTCAGTGAACTGACCATGTGCTAGACCCGCTGCCTCTCGGATGTTCATTTAATCGAAGGCTTTGGATGAGGATCCGAGTCGTTCTCCTGTCAGGTGTGGGCGCCCTGCCAGTATTCTAGTCCATCCTCTTCGGAGGTTAGGAAGTGATCGATGGTCCACTTCCCTTAAAACCTAGCCATGGGAGAAAACAAGTCTACGGGTTATAAGCTCACAGCTCGATTGGCGTGGAGCACGAGCGTCACGCATTGTGTCTGACGGTGGGAGGGCACCACCGGGTGTTCAATGGTATGCTACTGCTAGCCTCAATTTAGTTAATTTCGACAACATTTTCGTGTTTGTGTCATTTCCGTAAAGTATACTTTCTGACCTCATGAACTTATCTCGGATACGTTTCCTTATGCATTACTCGATTTATTTATTTGTTATTCTTTCTCAAGTGATTGGCTGTTGTTTGATATCCCCGGTGTGGCTGCGCTTGATGTGCATGTTGACAAGGTGCATACCTGTCTAGTACCCACTACCTACTCCATACTGGCTCTAGGAAACAGTTGGTCGTTGCTGATGAGGTTCCGGTGCGCTGTCCTGTTGGCCGTGCTAGGCTCGAAGAGTGGTTCCATGCACTCAGTGTGGAACGGACTACGGTCCAGCTACCGCCTTGTGTGTACTTGATTCCCCAACTACAGCGTGCTTATGTTTGCCTGTAAAGGAGTGTGGGCCGACTCCGTTGATGAAACGTGGCTCCTGTCCCCATTCCTCCCGGTGTTATTTCTTCGGGTTTACACTGGATATGGGGTGTGTGGTTGGGGCTGTGGGTGATTCAGCGCAAGCCACCTATGGTCCCGGTGTAGGCGCAGGCGTGCTGTGACAGGCCATAGTTACAGGCAAGTCCAAAAGCGGATGCCGGCACCCATGTATATGGGCAATACAACCCAAATAAAGTGGAATGAGATTTATCCAGCTTAAAATGTCCTAGTTTAAGCGTAATTTGCTTTAGCTGATCTGCGGTGTAGAAGCATTAAGAATGCGACGTCATCCTCTGCATTGAGCACTGTTGGTAATAGTTTCACTCATCAACCTGCATAAACTTGGCTTTACGTCATTCTCTTTAAACAGATTAAGGTGTTTTTGTTGATACTTCTGTCAGCGTTTGTATATTCGACGATCATGAGCCAATCCATTCCGCAATTTTAGTCTACGCGGGTGTGGTTGAATGTGTAGGCTGCAAACTGTTATGTATCTTAGGTATTACGAATATTAAACTTTGTATATGACTCTACTCTACTCTGGAGGCAACATCAAATTTATCCGAGGTCCTTTCACTGAGCTTCACCGAAGTCCGCATGCCACTATGTGAACATTGGGTTTTGCTTGCTCCCAGTGCTGCCCAAACGTTTACATGGTGGAGATTAGATGTCGTGTAAACGTTTGGGTCCGATAAGAGTTTACTGGAAAAGAACTCTTAAACCATCACTCATTTGCTTGATTTTTTAACGTGTCATTTCAAACACTGTGAGTACTCTAATGCAGATTGAATTCCCAACCACTGTGTCAGGCGCTGCTCGTAGATCTCAGTGTCCTTATTGATCAAGATGTCAGTCGTCAGCCACTACGTCCCGAGTTCTTATCCTGACTCCAGCCTGATGAGTCCAAATAACGGTGAAACCACTCGTGAGGGGTGCAGTGTTGGAAGAAAGCAACACCTAAATCTCCCCATTTATGAAGATGTTCCAGTGATCGAAATAACCGCGGTCGACTTCAGAATAAACCTCGGTTCCACTCGCTTTAAAAATCCGGACCTACCTGAGACCAACCACAGTGCATCATGGTTGACCGTGCAGAGCACGTTGTTCAAACCGATTAGAATATAGCACAGTTGGTGGTTTCTTTCGCAGCAATTCATTTACGGTTGACAGATTTCGAACACTTTGTCGACCACTACGCTGATTTCGCAAAATCTTCATTGTTCCTCCGTCACAAGTAATCGCCTTGTTTGCACCATTTAGCAAGTAGATGCCACCATGTCTCCGTTTACATTTTATGCCTGTATTTGATGAATGACCACGAGACGAGCCATGCACGCGCTTTCATCTACTATTTTCTACAGTCAATAATTAATTTGCTTGCATTAGCAACTAACATGATTTCATTACGGGTGATATAGAACACTCTTAATTGCGCGCTTTTTCCGGATGTCTGCTGAATTTTACCGAATCTCTCTCTTGTTTTCCGCTGAGGACAATGGACTTGGCCACATCACCATATTTGATGTAGCCTAGATCGACGACTAAATTCTCTGATGTACGTTTATCTGTGCTATGGTGTTACTGGCTTTACTGGGATCTTATTTTCTCTGTTTCGCTGATCTTTTAATATTTCGGCTTGAAATATGCTCAACATACGAATATTTACCGTTCTTCCACTGTTCGCCTCCCGTTTCTCACAACCCCACTCAGGAATGATCCAAAGCGTGTTCTTCAGTTACTTTCGAGAGCAGCTAACGAAATCGCTTTGGGAGATGTGGTGGGCTCAACAATTCGTACAGCTGGTGCTGGTTATTGGTCTCTGCTTCCCGTTCAAGGCATCTTCAGCGTTGTTCTACCCGGTCGTTTGCTTCATGGCCCTCTCCCAGGTGGAGGACCGGGCGGTGGAGTTAACTTTCCATCATGGTTTGGCAAGTACAGTCACCAAGGTCGTATGCAGCGTGTCAGCGCCTCATTAGCCCATCATTTAAGTCTGTCCACTCACGGTGGCTGTTGCAACACCCGCAACCTGATTTTGGACTACGCCTCGCCTTTATCCGACAGTCTAACGAGACCGCTGAAACAAGGTGTGCATTTATCGTCCTTTATTTCTCACCGATATGCTGCCTACTCTCCTGTTGTACATCGTTTTTTGTTTCTTACCAGACTGCTTTGTCATTGCACCGCTTTCATTTGCCGTCCTTGGGGGGGGGGGGGGGTTGGTGTTCCTTACACCTGTACCTCACTTATGGAACTGCTGCTGGCATTCATCGACCATCACTGGCTTGCTTGATGAGTTCATGTGTTTTTCATGGAAGCACCTCAACGCACTGTGCTGTGCCACTTGAGTGGCACATCCCATCTGCTTGTCTTTTCTGTGCACTTTAGACCGTGACGAACGGAGAGAGCAGTCGATGAGCATTCGTGCCGGTGTTTAACCCTTCGCTTTTCTTGGTTATTTGTCACTTTACCTGACGCATGCTGTCTATGCAATGCATTCTAATCACATAACACACTTTCTTTAAAGCCTGTCTAACAGTTTACTTTTCTTTTCATGTCGCCTCACTCGAAATGCGCAATTAATTCGTCGAATAGCTGATGATTGCCGTCGCTAATGCTAATTTTCCTTCTGTTTCCTTGTCAAGTGTCAGATGGTTGCTCTGCTCGAGGATTTGAATTTGCCAGATTTAACATTCACGTGCTATATGTTGGCTGATGAATTCTTCACATATTGCCATTCTGTTTCACTCCCTGCATCTCATTTTCTCTCACATCATGTCAGGTGACACTGATACTGTTCTGAACACTCTGATAGCCCATCAGCTTCAACGGGAAGACATGGACTGTCTCCTGGAACTAACTACTTGGTCAAATCGTCCGAATCGACTAACATGTATAGATTCCAAGGTTCGTGCATTTTTTACTTCCTCATGACATCGAGCTTGTTGCCATACTCATGTTTTGCCTTTTGGGAGTGATGTTTTTCCATGGATGACCGTTTCCTAACTTCCCGACCATTTATAGCTATCTCTCGAGCTAAATTCGTTCAACTACATGATAACCCTTTTTATTTTTTGAAGAAATTATAACAGTCCCTCGTGTATACCAAAATATCGCTGACCGGCCCATCGCTATCTGTTCGCGGTTGCAAAGAACTTAATAAGGATTTTTGTTTATCCAAACCTCACGAATGGGATGCATCACAACCTGACTTCATCTCTAGTATGCATTTCGTCTACCCAGTTCTTTTGGTACACTGACACCCGGACACTGGGGATGATAGCAACCGATATTCCATTGTTACACGCGTGTTAGGCACCGCTACTTCCTGATTCCTAGTTTCAGGCAATCGTTCGGCTGACTCACTGCAATTAACATGGAATGAGGAGTGAACAATGTCCCATTGGTTCTTTGTCTCTTAATTCACTACTCTGACACGGAGCACTTGATAGTTGATACCCTGCGAGCGTTTGTTTACTACGTGACCAAGTCTGTATCAACTAGCTCTCCTAGAGTCAAAACAAAGGCTGAGCAGCCATCAATTCCGTACTCTAAATGTATAGAAGTTTGGGCGCTATACAACTGCAGCAGCTTTCATCCGGTCAGTTTTGATGCTCGTGCGATATGTCCACACCGTTCTCCCGCTGTGTTCGGACCGGTCCACACCTCCTCCCTCCAGGGCCACGTGGAATTGAACCACGTTTCAGCGTACTTCTTCACTTTCCGTCCAGCCCCTGCACTTGTGGGCGGCGTTTGATTCGCCCTCTGGTCATTAGTTTTGCGTCGCCCCCCCTGTTTGATCAGTAGATCGGCCGCCATTTCATCTTGTCACCATTCGGTTCACTGGCATATGGCTATATCCGTCCGACACTGTTCGCATGAGTCTTCTTTTCCCTTGTCCGTGACTTAACTGCGCTCCGTTGGCTACACCAGTTCAAAGTCAACTTACCTCTGCGATTCCACCATGTTCTCTATTACTTCATTCAGGGTCCTGGTCTATAGTCAAGATAGATCCTAACGCTTCCAAATTGCATTCACAAGTACGTATACGCGCGCCAGCGCCTACATCTCGCAGAGTGGCTAATCCTCATCAACTAATAATGAAGCTGATCTACACACGTTGTGCTAGGTGCGCACGCGTACGCACAATGGTGCTAGTGAGGTTCTTAAGCCCAACCATGCATATAAGCCCATCGATCTTGGACACAAGAGAAGGTACACTCCGCACATAGTTCTATCCTTGCGGCCAACAACGGCGAACTGCAGTTAAGCGGTATGGACCTCACGTGTAAGTGCGCTCACAGTATCTTATGTCTGGCACAGATCCATGAACGCCTGTCCTTATATATAAGTGTTACCGTCTGCCGCGGACACCGGTGCGAACTCTGGTGGGTACACTTCACGCAGTGTCCTAAGGTGAGGTCATTATCATTTGCCTAAACTTAAGCGGTCACGTGTGAACTAATGCACAAAAGGTGGTGTACTCTGGTCCATCGCAATGAGGCTGGACCTTACCGTGGTGCGAAGGTTTGTGTGCCTCAGTGATCCATTGAGTTGTACTGGGTGGTGCATTTTTGCACCTTCAGTCACTCATACCAGATTGGTCAATGGTTAGAGGCCAGACAAACTCAGCCTCCTGGCCCTCCAGGTTGGAGGTTGGAATGAGGGTGGCTCCTTATTCCTTAAAACGGACTCCTTGTAGCCCAATGCCAAACCCGCTGCCTTGCGGACAGGTTTTTGAACCAAAGGCTTTTGTTAAGAACCCTAATGGTTCTCCTGTCTAGGCCTGGGCGACCTGACAGTATCATGCCCACGCAATACGACGAATTTCCCTTCAAACAGTTTAGTGATGCTCTGGCCACCGCAGAGGATAATCAATGGTGTCCTATCTGCTGCATCGAGCAGGGTGGATAGGGGTTTGGATGCTACTGCTCAAGCCTTCCCGTCTTCTTATTCCCCCTCTTACGCTTTTTCACCCTTATCGTCCCGTTCCAGCTTCACTTTTATCCCCCCTGTTTTCAACCCCCCAATTCTCGGCCCTCCCCCACCTTGCTTCAATAGTCGCTTGTCTTTTAGTTTCAACTCACATGTGAACGCGGAGCGTCATTCCTGCCCTGTCAACAGGCCCAAGTCCAAGTAAGCGGCCCATTCCAGTTCATCGGCTTCCATTAGGAGCCCTCGATCATCCTTCAGATGGGCATACCTCAACGTTCGCACATTGCTTCAAGCAGCACTTGCCCGAACATTAGAGACCCTCTCGATCGATATCTGCTGCTTATCGGAGACTCGTCTGAAAGACTCGAGCTCTGTGCTGCCTCTGCGATCCCCTTCAGGTGACACTAGCAGCACTTTCTCATTGCGCCTATCCAGTGACGATGCAGCTTCGAGCACCGGCCAAGCCGATATTGGTGTTGCCCTGAGTCCCCGGGCTGAAACTGCTCTAGTTAATTGGATTCCAATCAGTAGCCGGATGTGTGCGGTCCGATTGGCTGGCTCGTTCAAAACTTCGAAGTCGCGAGGGACTAACATGTGTCTATTCGTTGTCGCTGCCTATGCACCGACAAACTGTAGGGATGACTCGGTAAAAGACGACTTCTATCATCAACTGAACGAGTTCCTTAACCACAGAATAAGCTCGGACACAGTAGTGCTGGCTGGGTGAGCTGAACGCTCAAGTTTGAAAATTATCCACAGATGAGCTGCATCTGGGCGGCCAACATGGTATAGGCTCCCGTAATGATAACGGTGAGCGGTTACTTCATTTGTGTGTGTATGCTCGCTTATTTCTTGCGAGCACTAATTTCAGACACAGCACCCGCCGGAGAGTGACTTGGCACCCACCAGCCTTGGACGCAAATCGATCACATTGCAATCAGTTACCGCTGGAGAGCCTGCATCCAGAACTGTCGCTTGATTTGGAGCACATGTGTGGACACCGACCATGCACTTGTATGTACTGACCTGCGGATGCGCTTTGGCGGCCGCCCAAGACGACGTTGTGGGCGCATTGACACCAACCAACTGGCGAAGCCAGCTGTTCTGAATGCCTATCAAATTACGTTGTCATGCGAGTTGGCTAAACGCTCACTGGATGCAATTGAAGGTCACTGGTCTCATATTCAACAGACCTTACTTGCAGCAGGAAAATCCTCATGTGATATGTCTAGTCGCCAACATGGACATTGGGTTTCTTCACAGTCTCTGGAACTTATAGATGCTCGCCGGCATATTCCGGCTGGAAGCGAACACAATGGAACTCGCAAAGAGCTCCGGGCAAAACTCCGTGCTAGCCTGAAGAGAGACCGCGAATCCTGGTGGTCTCATCGTGCATCAAAGATGGAAGTGGCCGCTGCGCTTGGTAACTATCGTAAGTTATTCTGTCTGATACGGGAATCGGGCAGCGGAAGACCTGGTGTTAGTGAAACTATACGTGACGAGAGTGGACAGCCTATCCACAACTTGTCAAAACGCTTGGAGCGTTGGGCTGAGTATTTTGAAAAGCAATTTAATCGGTCGGAATTGTTAGATTTCTCGCCGGCCATTGATCGCCCCGCTCCGTGGGCTGTCCCTTTGGATCTACCTTCTCGCTCAGAAGTCGAACTTGAGATCGGACTGTTGAAGTTCACTAAAGCCGCAGGACCTGATGATCTTACTCCAGCCCTCTTCAAATTCGGGGGACCCACTTTTGTGGATAATTTACGCAAACTACTAGTTAAACTGTGTGAGCAGGAAACTGTCCCAACCGACTGGAGCCACTCTACCATAGTCCCAATTTTCAAGGGAGGCTCACGATCGGAATGCGGTAACCATAGAGGAATCAGTGTGATCTCCATCGGCTCCACATTGCTTGTCTCTATAGTCCATCACAGACTGACTGGCACTCGTAAAAGCCAGATTCGTAAGGAGCAAGCCGGGTTTCGTCGAGGTCGTGGCTGCATGGACCACATTTTCACCTTGCGTCAGTTGTTGGAGCACCGTCACATATACTGGCGGCCTACCGTAGCCGTGTTCCTCGATATCAAAGGTGCATTCAATTCGGTGGATAGACATACACTTTGGTACTGTCTACTCAGGAAAGGTGTACCTGAGAAACATGTGAATATTATCTGAGGATTATATGCGCGTAGCTCAGGCAGAGTGAGGGTTTACGGAAAGTTGTCGTCGCCCTTTAATATCTCCAGCGGTGTGAGACAACGATGCCCGTTGTCACGTTTCCTCTTCAACTTCGCTGTTGACGAAGTCTTGGAAATTGCGTTCAGAGGACACAACTTTGAAGGTGTGGATCGGCTTCTTGACTTAGAGTATGCTGATGATATTGCCCTAATCTGTGACAGCTCACAAACATGTCAAACGGCACTGGACAGATTAGTACTAGCTGTCCGTCACTTCGGGCTTTGCTTCGCACCCTCGAAGTGCAAAGCATTCCTCCAAGCTTGGTCTGGACCGCCTCCTTCGCTGACCGTTCGTGGGGATCAGCTAGAAGTGGTTCAAAAATTCAACTACCTGGGAAGTTGTATCAGCGCCCGTGGGATTGAAGATGAGTTCACGAACCGTATAGCAAAAGCTCGGGGCGCTTTTGCTAACTTTCGCCACTTGTGGCGGTGGCGCGACATCACTCTTGCCCTGAAGGGTAGAGTGTACAATGCAGCGGTACGTTCGACCGTACTGTACGGTTGTGAAACCTGGATGCTTAAAGCAGCGGACTTCAAGAGGCTAGTTACGTTCGACCACCGGTGCCTTCGCAATTTAGCTCACATCTGGTGGGAACACTGCGTGAGTAACGAGCGTGTTCGACGCTTTGTTTACGACACTGGAAGAAGAATTGAACCGCTCAGCACCGTCATTTCCCTCACCAGACTCCGATGGCTGGGCCACGTGTTACGCATGCCAGCCCACCGACTCCCTCG